CCACCTAAAACAACCCCCGCCTCATTTCCCCCCCGCCCCCACCTTGAGGTCACACAGCCTCTGGAACTCCATCAGCGACTGGGCCGCCGGCGGCATCAGCAGCAGGTAGTTGTCCACCAGCTGCTCGGGGCGGGACTGGAGCACCTTCACCAGCGCCACCACGTGACCCATCTCGCGCTCCACGTAGGTCGTGAAGGCCTGGAGGAGGGGGCCCCCGTGGAGAGGAGGAGGGGAGAGGAGGTAAGCTAGGGGGTAAGACGAACCACTGGTGAGTGAAGCAGAGAAAAACCAGTGATAGACGAATGTAGTCCAGGACTAGACGAATACCGCATCAGGAATATATATTTTTACCAATGCTATGACTCGAGTTGAATAGCGGTTTCGATGGCGAGACGAGGCCGGAAAGGGAAATGGGGGAGGGTGTACAGCCACACACACATCGCCACACACATCACCACACACATCGCCACACACAGTGTCCATAGCCCCCCGTTCTTCAAACCAGTCCAAAAGCTCTACCCCCCCTTCATCACAACCAGCACCTTCTTCCCCCCTTTCCGGGGGCCTTCCACGCCTTCCTGTTGTCGTACATACCCGATCATATTGCTGCTCGCCACCCGGCTCCGAAGCGGATCCTTCACCTCTGGCGGATCTCGCCACCCGGGGGAATTCCAACAGAGATCGCTGTACCTGCGGCAGTGGGGCAAGTGCGAGTTTCTAACCCCCGCTCCCGTCTTCGGACTTTCCGCCCCGTTGCAGTTGTGCGGGGTCCACAACTGTTCGGGGGCAACAACCGGCTCGACAATCATACCAGCCCCATATGTCTATTAAATGATGTGTAGAGCCGCTGGTTCTGGGTCGATCCCCTCCTGCTGTCAAGGTCGCTGCCACTGCAGCTGCGCTCAGACTCCACTACATGGTAAATCCATTTTAAGGCCACCACAAGAAGCCATGTCGCTTCCAAGCCATTACGCTTCGTGTACACCCATCCAGACCCGCAAGTGGCATCTCGTCCAAACCTGCAGCCCTTCTGATAAACCCCTCCCTCCTTTCTCTATGTGCCTCTCTTATTACTATATATATAACAATGATAGTTAACATTAAAATATTAGTAATAACAAAAAATAATAAAAATGATATCAACTCTCTATATACATACATATGCTCACACTGCACACACTGCACACACAATACACATACTGCCACCCCCTCCCTCCCTCCCTCCCCGTCCCTACCGCATCCATATCAATGGCCAGCTGCATCATCCCCCCGTCCGCCACGCGCCGCAGCCGGAATATGGCCTCGCGCAGGCGGGGGACGAACATCCGCGCCACCTTGTCGCACATGAAGGACAGATTGGCGGCCTCCAGACCGGCACCGAGAGGGGGGGCGCAGTCCAACAGCACCTGGGGGCGGGTGGGTGAGGCAGAGGGAAAGACGAACCACGAACGAGTGAGCGAGGGCAAGAGTGTACCAGGAGTAGAACTGACCAAGAAGCTTCGGACTCACCTGGCCAGGCAGCAGAAGTAGCGGCAAGCGCACATGGGAAGCAGAAGGGCAGCAAGGTTGTGAGCAGGGTGCGATCAAGAAACAAGAATACATGCGAGTGCAGCTG